AACACACCGTCCGTCGCAAGAAGCAAACGAGGTATGCTTTTATACAGTATTATCAGTTGAAACGAATTTACTCTGAAATCCACTTCTATGAATCCAACCCGGCGTTTATATCAGAACACTTAGTTTAAGTTTAAGTTTAATTCATTCGCCACAGGAATGGCAGGAGAAAGGAACAGAACTTTCGTTCCAATTGACACCTAACCCCTTTTTTACCCACCCATCCCACCCCGGGGAGGACATCCATCACACAGTAATCTCGTGTGTGGGAAATTAACGTCTCCTACCCCAACCCTGCAGGAGACGGGACCTCCATTTATCGTCCCTATCCGAGAAGACTAGAAAGTCTAACCATTTGCAGATATTATTACAAAGGCAGCACTTTCTTCTCAGTTAATTAAAGACCCTGAGTGTTGGTCCGGCCGGATTTGAACTCACGACCTGCCGCACAACAATCCAGCGCTCTACCAATTGAGCTAACCGGGAGGCGGTTAAAACTGGAAAAAAAACTTAGGCCCCAAAATACACTGTATACTTGCGAAGAACTGCTAGGAGCCGTTATAAAGTATTAAATTATCTTAGATAAGTTTGAGTTAGTGCTTAATTTGTTTCTATCTAGTCAGTTTGGTTCCTATTTGAATTCGAAGTCCAATTTATTTGGCCGGCTTTTTCTATCGTGATGGAGTTCCCTGATTGTGACCATGTTTTTTCTAACTTCCATTGATGGATTTGTTTAGTTTATCTACTGACGTAACTCTGCGCCCACTCTAAAGTTCTTGTTTTGGCTTACGCAGTTAAAGGTTGATTCGGTTTATCACAAGTCTTCATGCGCTATTGCTTAATTGCGACAACAAAAGTTTGATCTTCCGAGGTCGGTCGGCCGGCATGCCCATTCATGCCTACTGATGGTGAATACAAAAGAGCGTGCTTTACAAAACTCGTAAACTCGTGTTAAAGCTCACGTCGACATTCTTTGTGCTTGAAACGAAGGCTTTACCAAACAAAGAAAGGACGCCGAAGTCTGTTTGAGTAAGGTTCGCGCTTTTAATTTCGCAGTATACTTCGACCTCGTAGCATTATTATACGAGCATTATTATTATATTATTATACATTATTATATTGGCGGAAATCACTTGGCGAAAATCCCTCGGCGAATAACACTCTCGTTTCGCTATTCACAAACTGATCATAATCTTCGTGATATCAACGTGTTTTATTTCGTTTAATACCTGACCATTAAGTCTCTTTCCCTCTTAGCTTTTATTTGATGCAAGTTTCACACGAGAGGCTACACGATACCAGAAAGTCAATTCGCCACCGGTAATGGCAAATTGACTTTGAGTGGTGGCGAGTTTGTAGTAGTGGCGAATCGACCGGATACCAAATTAAAGACACATCGAGAGTCCCCATAAAGTCCCTCGCAAAACTTTGTGCGCTCAGAAGCTGTTTTTTACCCGTCATTCAGACCCAACTGACATAACAATGATTTTTGTAAATGTTGAAGTTTTTACCTAGGTATGAAGGATGTGATTGGATACTCGAGTAGTAATTTTCTTCAGGTAATATAGGCCTTTATCAGAATCGTAAACTTTTGCATTCTTCTTCCGCGCTATTACACAAACTTTAAGATACAAGTGATACTCAGAACGATATGAAATAAACAAGCACAAATGCATGCAAACAAAGCAAAAACCGAGAAATTTCTCCTTATTAGACTTGTTGTTTCTCCCGCAGGTGCTTCAGGTGGTGAGGGAAATAGAACGTCTGTAGCCGTCCAAATAAACAACACATGTAAGTTTGGAACAATATACCTCTGGCAGAAAACTGTAATTGTAATGAAAAATCGGGAAAGGGATGTTTTAGCTAATTAAAGCCTTAGATTTTTAAAGACTTGATTCCGACTTTGAAGCTTTCCAAGACGCCTGCAACTCAAGAAGTCTTAACAGCTGCAAAATGTCGATATCATCTAACAGTCTGCTCGGTAAGCAGATGTTACCTTTCCCGTAATTCATTTAGCATTGGAAACGAGATCAATGGCAGACAAAACAAGCTGAGGTGTTTTTGTTTTTTAATGTTTTTTGGTTGTGCTTTATAATTCTATGTGTCAGTTTAATTGTCATTTTCAGATAACAGGGAAAAGAATCAGACATCCTTAGACACAACAGGTATTGCATAAATTTGTGAGTAAAAACTCTTCCTTTGTAACGCTTTTCGTTCTTAAAGCCATATGTGACAAGCAGATTCCTTCTTCCGTCTTGCCACGAATTTATTACTCCTCAAATTGATAGAAAACTAACAGAGCTAAACATTGGTTATGCTGTTCATTTAAGTAAGCGTCCAGTTTTGTTTTAAAAGGGCAAGTTTTATATTTTCACGCAGCCGTCCCAAACACCGAGCTTATCAAGCCGACATGGGCGGGCGGATATGAATATCCTGGTAGGTCTGAAATATACTGATTATATAAAATAAGCTAAAGAGTCATGATTTATAACGTTATTTTACCAGCTTGACATGTAATCATAAAAAAACCAATGTAACCGCAAAGACTGTATATGATTCACCATGAGTAGCTAATAGTGTTCTCTTGTCTATACCTTAAAGTGCTGCTTTTTGTGGTTTCAAGCGATAGCCCTTCGTTACCAGGCTTTCGCTAAGGATTCATTTCTCTTTAATCACAGCAAGTACAGAGGATCCATTAAAAAAAAGCTACTTTGGACACATATGGAGTAAAGATAAAAAAGATGTCACAGAGTGACTCATAAAAATGTATAATCTTATAAAAATGTATGTCATAAAAATGACCATGTTCCTATGGCCGTGTGGATTTCGTATTAACAAAACATTATGTTCTATTCAATAGGTTTTATTTATTTTCTCTTGGCTAGATAAAAACTGCAGCATTTAAATCATCAACAATAGACTACACTTGCTCTCCCAATCCATCTTTTTCACAGTTATTGAAATGTATATTTGGAACACAACATAATACAGCAGGGAGAAAAGAAAAAGGACACAATATCCCCCTGATTTATCTTTGCCAAAGTTAATACCTAAATCAGGTTGCAATAATTCTTAACGACAGATCACAGAGGGGTGTGGTGAAGGCCTCGATGGGGTTAACCGTCAACCAGTGAGGAAACTTTCTAGGATTAAAAGTTGGCACAGGGGACGGTTCCAACAACATTTAATAAGCACACAATCCCTCGCAGTCCGAGTCAACGCGAAAAAAGATTGAATGAGCGGAGAAAAGGAAATTCGATCAAAGACAGCCAATAAGTATTTCCTCCCTAAATTTTTGGTGTGTCGAGAGAGCGAAATTGGGATGCCAATAAAAATCGTGACCAAATAAGTAGTACCAAAACACGGAAATATGTTACGGAGACGACGAAGCAATTTCATCACTGATTTTTATTGAATGCCTACATTATCTCGTAAACTGAAATGAGTAAACTAATAGGAACTAGTGTAAGAAGACGCATGGCGACTAACAGATGAAATAATTAGGAGAAACCTAAGCTACACAATAACCACGCGAAAATCCCCAAGACTTTTGTACGAACCGTCTTCGTCGTAGCCATCTTCTCTCACCAGATAATAGTAAATATCACTAAACCTGAAGTCTGGAATACCACTGAAGTCATGAGTCCATTTCTTAAGCCAAAGTGGATGGGGAAGTAATTTTCCTCATGACAAAGTTATTTTGGAATTAATGAGCTCTTCACGTTTCGTTGATTCCTCGTCAATTTTGGAACTTTATTTCCGCTGCATTCTAACATAGCCCCAATAGCTCTGCCCTTCTACTCTTATCGTTGATAGAAATTGGAATACCTCTTCCCTTTAAAAACTTTTCAAGCTCAGATACTTTTATATGAGCGAAGGGGCCAGCATTTACTGGATTGTTGAGACGACTTTTATTCCCCTCAGCCTCGACTTGGTGCTAAAAACTAGTTACCAGACTTTCTCTCATAAACACTTCGGCGGTAAAGTTCTGTTGTTTATAAATAAAATTTTAATAAAATACATTAATGTAAGTCCTTTAACTTCTAGTCGTGAGTACAACTGGTTAGTGACAGAACTGACTTCTGGTGTGGAAACACTTTTGGTGTCGTAAAGCGTTAGTCATTTATTAATAAAAGGTGTTGTAAATAAAGCCAAACTCGCGCGTTTAGTTCGTTTTATACATGACTTTAAAAAATATTAATCATCAACCGTCAATTGATCTAAAATTTAACCTTCATCTGTCAAAAGGGCTTATTTTTAACCGTGAACCGTCAACGTGACCCACCCAC